TATATATATATATATATATATATATATATATGTATGTATGTATGTGTTTGTTTGTAATATAAAAGAGAGAAAAATGAAAGCATAGAAGAAATGCTTCTGTCACAGAACTACATGCAGATTTAGTGCTGTAATTGCTAAAAAATAATTGTGAATTTTTAATTTTTTGATTAATTTTCTCAGTAGATTTGTTATGTGTATGTACAAAGGAAATCCCTCTGTGCTGCGAAATGTTATTTTTTTGTTAGATGCATTTACCTGTACCTCAGTTAAGCTAGAAATGTGGTTTAACCTTTAATATAATGTGCCATGAGAAGTTTAGTTAGTTATTTAGAGGTTAACAAAATACAATTTGTGTGCCAAAGACCTATTTGCCCTTTGGAAGACCTGCTGTAAGTCAAGTAACTTTGCAAAAGGATTACATAAGATTAGTGCAATAGGTCTTTCAATTTGGATAAGTCTACTTTACTCATGATTACCAAATCAGTGTGTTTTGACCACGGGAGTTTGATACTATTACAGGATCATTCTGTTAGCGGAACATTCCGTATTATATTATTACAAAAGATTTATTTCCCTGAACATGAAATCATATTTAAATGGATAGCATGGCCTTATAACTTTTGATCTGTTATCTGTAACTGCTGTATGTTTGTGTGATTTTTCTGGCACAGGTAAAAGCAAAAAGAGAGAACAATGTAAAAACACACAGATGTATCCTCTGAGCGAAACCCAGTACTGCCCCTGCAACAAGTACAATGCCCAGCCCGTGGGGAACTGGTCCGACTGCATCCTGCCCGAGGGTGGGCGAATAGAGGGCCTTTTGGGTATGAAAGTGCAAGGTGATATCAAGGAGTGTGGCCAGGGTTACCGGTTTCAAGCCATGGTGTGCTATGACCAGGACAACCGCCTCGTGGAGACGTCACGCTGCAACAGTCACGGTGGGTGAAAAAAGTCGAGGTGTATCAATCCTGCGCCACTAGTGTCATTATAAAAAATAATGATTCATTTACTTTCCTATCTACCATTGGTCACGCAAACAGATTGTCCCTCTCGCGTCATTGATTGGGACAGTGTTATACTTTGTCGAGAAGAGTGCTAATGTTTGCACATATTTTTGATTTATTTATTTGTTTGTTTGTTTTTTAATTTTTGACAAAAATATCATCTTGTAAATTTAGGCTATATTTTCTTATGTTCATTCATTTTGCTCAACTTCTTTTTACACAAAATAATAATACAACAAAAGTAGTACTTGTAATATTTTTTTTTATTTATACTAAAAATGTGCAAAATAATCTATTTTTACAAAAATAACAATAAATATGAGTGCAACATTAAACCATATATTTACTTTTTATATACTAATATGGATAGTAGAAAATATGTTTTATAAAGAAAGATTTTATGTATATAAAACAATTAGCTTAAACTGAAATCTTATTATTTAAAATGTAGTCAGTGTATGGAGGATTTTTCAAAATATGCACAGTGAAAGATTATTCTCTAACTGAATATGAAGTATGTTTGTCTTTTTTATCTCATTTTCTTCTTAATTTAATATATCATGTCTTGTTTTCTTAAATGAAAATTGAGTTTTTGCTTACAAAAAGAGAACAAATAATCTTGTCTCCTGAGTAGTTTTGTCTTTTTTTATCTCGTTTTCAAATAAAAAGATCTAAACATTCTTAAGTCTTACTGTTCTTAAATTTACTATGTATCTATTATACTAATTTAATAATCAAGTCTTGTTTTCTGAAAAAAAAGAAAATTGAGTTTTTGCTTACACAACGAGGAAAAAAAAACTTGTTTCCCTTTGAATTAAATGTTAATAAATGTCAATTTTAATCAAGTTTATTTACGTGATGCTCGACTAAAGCATTTATGTCTATCAAAAACATTCCTTATAGTGAGTCCTTCCCAAGTAAAGAAAGCAAAGGGCTTGTCTTAATAGAAAATAAGCTTTCCACAACAGTGTTCGTAATCTAATTTTGGTCCACAACTCTAGCCACTTCCTGCAGCAAGGAGCTCAGAAACGAGCAGTTGACAATCCGTTCCTCTGAGCCCGAGATTAGACTGTGGCAAACTACAGCGTTAGATGAAAGCATGTGGAATCCCGTGGCCAATGCAGGAGCTCTGTGACGTTAAGGCCTCTCTCTTTATGAGTCACAATCCTATAGTATGGATTGTACGCTCTCAGCTGGAGGCCTGCGACTGGCTCAAAGACTCGGCATCCCTAGAGTGAAGATGTGCTGACGGAGGCAGGGTGTTTCTCTCTCTCTGCCTCCTCTCGTTCTCATCCTGCTTCCTCTGAGACATCCCTCACTCCACTCAGACCCCATAGCCCTCATGATTTGAAGCATAGTTGCCATTTTGTGAGGCTGTCAGACTGACATGTTGCCCAAGGCAATTTGTAGGGGGGGGTTGAATGTCTTTAATCCAACTGTGAGAAGTTTCTGTGATAGGGATTTTGGTTCAAAAGTATATACAGATATCCTTTTTTTAAAGGAGTATATTCATGACTGTATAAGAATCATCATGTGTTATTTTGTTAGTTTTGATTGAGTTGTTTAACAATAGTAAGGTGTTTAATAAAATATGAACAATATTTTATTTGTTAATAATTTAACTTTATTAATTTACTATACTACTATAATTGTGTTAAGATAATTTCATTTAAATTAGATTTACATTTAATTTAAATTATTATTATTATTATTTTTTCTTAATTTGAATTTAAAAATGACATTTTCTTACATTTAGAATTACAAATGATCTAGAATTAAGATTTTTTTCCCCACCACTGGTGCAATTAATGTGGAGGGCCATGTTTGACACAGAATGAAAAATAAAAATAATTTTGACTTTTTATTTAACAATTCCAACTTTATCACTATTATTAGTTTATCTCACAATTTAGAGTTTCTCAGAATTGTAAGTTAATTACATCATTTTGACTTTTGAATTTATTTCTCACAATTGTGTGTTTATATCACACAATTTAGAGTTAACATCTCGCAATTGTTCTTGAAAATCTGAGTTAGCAATTTGCATTATTCAATTTTAGTAAACACACAATTCTGACTTTTATTCTCAGAATTCTAAGATACAGTATAACCTAAAAATTGTGAGAAATAAAAGCAGAATTGTGAGATCAAATACTGCAATTTTCATTTCATTTCATGGCACAATTCAAGAAGTGAATTGTGCTAATTTTTAACATTGATTGCTAATTTTTGTGATGTCTATTAAACTGTTTACCACAATAATGTATTTAAATAGTCTTTGAACACTTTGAGCAAATACTTAATATAATGTAATGAAGTGAAGTGACATGTGGCCAAGTATGGTGACCCATACTCGGAATTAGTGCTCTGCATTTATCCCATCCTAAGTGCACACACACAGCAGTGAACACACACACCGTGAACACACACCCGGAGCACAAGCCATTTTTTGTTGTGGCGCCCGGGGAGCAGTTGGGGGTTCGGTGCCTTGCTCAAGGCCACTTCAGTCGTGGTATTGAAGGTGGGAGAGAGCGCTGTACATTCACTCCCCCCACCTACAATCCCTGCCGGTACGAGACTTTTTCAACAGCAACCTTCCATAATGTTTGCTCAGCTTTTCATTTTTTAATTTTTTTTATCTGATATTGCTGTGCTTGTAGGTTTGAAGGAGCAACATATTATGAAGCACTTAACATGGAATTCTTAAAACCTGCTGTTTGAATAATCCTCTGAAATGTTCAGGACTTGAGTTGTCTCATGCAGCTTTCCCATTCCAGAAAAATACTATGACCTTTGCAAGTTGTGATGTAAAATGAAACTTCAGCAGACCATATCAGTTCAAATGCCACAACCTTGACCTTTACGCTGCTTTAACATAGACACTCGATGCTGTTTCATCTGTCACAATTTATTTGACTAACTCCAGTAACCAGCATCATAACTGTATCATGTTGGTTTGACTTACTCTAATAGAAACACTAAGTTTCATTCATCTCACTTTTATCTCTTGTAGGTTACATAGAGGAAGCGTGTATCATCCCGTGTCCATCTGACTGTAAGCTCAGCGAGTGGTCAAACTGGTCCCGTTGCAGTAAGTCCTGTGGCAGTGGAGTCAAAGTACGGTCCAAGTGGCTTCGGGAGAAACCTTATAACGGTGGCAGGCCCTGCCCCAAACTGGACCATGTCAATCAGGTATACAGGGAGCCTGTTATATTTTTTTAATGAATATGTGCCTGTCTTATTTTTTTAATGATTAATTACTGGGCTGCTGTACATTTTTGGATCAAAGGACTAAATGGAATAACATGTTTTTTAAATGCACATCAGTGTGGTTTATGTTCACATATTCATGGGATATTGTTTGTATATTGTAACTTTAGAGCATTACATATTGCTAGGCTAAAATTATGTGAATTTACACAGCTTCAAACGATCTTCTGAGGTTTTGGAAGTGACTAATAAATGGCATGTAACAACTTCTCTGTTTTCTGCATTTCTCCCTTTCATCTTCTCTCTCTCTCTCTCTCTCTCTCTCATCATGGCGGGAATTCTGCAACAGGCTCAGGTAAAAATCTCAGGTTTTAAATGATTGATGGTGGTGCATATGTGATTAACCAATTATTTTTGAATGATAATTTTTTATGCTAATTAATAATTTTTTTAATCAATTATTAATTCAAGTTCTTGATGAATATACTGTATGACTTTAAGGTCCAAGGACATAGGAATGATCTTAAAAGTGACAGGGCACATTATAAACCCGATTGGCTTGGCTCATAAATATTATGTAGGTGAAATAATTGAAAGGAAAATGGCCTTTACCTTTGAATGCAACTTTTTCTTGTTTACTGAGATGCTTTTAATTAACATCAGTAAGTAACATAAATTAGTTCATTTTAGATCATTAATTCATATTAGTTAATATATTACCTAAATTAAAATAATAATAATAATAATAAAATGAAAGAAGTTTCTTATGCTCACCAAGGCTGCAACATTTAATGTATTAATATATATTAAAATGCCATTTATTCCTGTGATGGCGAAGCTGAATTTTCAGCATCATTACTCCAGTCTTCAGTGTCACATGATCCTTCAGAAATCATTGTAATATACAGATTTAGTGCAAATGATTTTGGTGAAACATTTATTATTATTCTCAAAGTTGCTTAATATTTTTGTTTAAACAGTGAATTAATAAATGCTGTAAATGAATGTTAGTTCACTTTTAGTTCATGATAACTAAAGAACAAACAAATGTTAACTGAATAAAACCTTACAGTGAAGTGTTACCACTAAAGCTTTTAAAATATGATCATTCTCCAAAAAGCTGGCGACCAAGCTGAAACCTCTGTGGTGTTTCTCAGGTGTATGAAGTGGTACCATGTCTGAGCGACTGCAGTCAGTATGTCTGGGTGGCTGAGCCGTGGAGTGTCTGGAAGGTCAGTAATGTTGATCTGAAGGAGAACTGCGGGGAAGGTGTACAGACGAGGAAAGTCAGGTATGACTGTCTCAAACAACAACATTAACAAAGCTTTTTAGAAAGTGCATGATAATCCTAATAGATGCTTCTTTTCATGAAGGTGCATGCAGAACACTGTTGATGGACCTTCAGAACCAGTAGAAGACTATCTCTGTGATCCAGAGGAGATGCCGCTTGGAGCCAGAGAGAGCAAGTTGCCCTGTCCTGGGGACTGCGTTTTGACTGACTGGGGCCCTTGGAGTCGATGCCCATTGGTGAGAGGAAACATTGATCAGGAACACATCTAATGTTCAGTAGAGCACACAATCTTATTTGCCCCTACAGTGTTGTGATGGATAATCGGCTCTACCATAACTGCATGGTGTGTCTGACGCAACACTTCTCGGTGCAAATGTCCCCTGAAAGCCCAGCCTTTATATGATAAGTTTAAATGCACGCAGATTAGCCAGGCTGGTACCTCTTCCTTTTTTTTCCATCTCCTGTTTGAGACACCGCATGTTCTTTAGAGCTGCTCAACACCAATCGAGCATTTTAGGTCAGCCGTGCACCAGCGGTCAGTAAATACAAAGCGAAATAAGAAAACCGAGGATGGGGTTGGCCGCTCAGAGCGAGTTGCGAGTTCACACATGAAATCGCTTGCTGTGGCATAAGTGTGTGTATAGGCATTATTGAGGAATCTCTCAGGGGGAGGGTTACTTACGTCTGTCTCAGTGTGATTCCCAGGCACGCTGCCACCAAACTGCAAGGGTAGCTAATTGCCATGGATACTGAGAGTAGCCCTGCGGTGAAAATGCGGGAAGGCTTAAAACATCTTACACATGACATCAGAGAGGAATTTATTTCCCTCCGAAAGAGCTGCCAACGTCTGAAATAACAAGGAAAATGTGAAAGCGAAATTAATCCGCTGCACATATGCTGAATATTTCAAGATGTCCTCTCTTTTTCCATTTGATTGTTCTTTTGTTGTTCATTGATCATCGTTTATTCATTGAAAGCTTTGTTTTTTTGAAGCCATGCAATGTGAATAGTACAAGGCAGAGGACCGCCAGCCCTAGACGTCAGCCTGGGAAAGAGAAACAGTGTCCTTCAACTACAGAGAAAGAAACGTGCACCCTGAACACCAACTGCTTCCATTACTCCTATAATATTACAGGTAAATATTGACTGAATCTTAACTAGAACATGCTGGCTGCCAGATACATGCGAAGACTAAGAAATCCCTGAGATCTGATTTGACAAATGTGGCTATTCATCTGTCATCTGGCCTCTCAACCTTCATTTCCATCCATGTTCATTTTAATAGTTTAAGAGTCAGTTTGGAAGCTCGTGACTTTTGCTAATACTGATTATAAACAAATTTCAACTTGATAACAGCATTAATTGTCTATTTTGTATATTGTGTTTTTACTATTTTACACATTGTCTATTTTGTATATTTTAGCTCAAACAATAGATTTTGCATGATGGTTGAATCCTAGGGAATGCATGAAAAAATGCACAGTATATCCTGAATGCAATGCAATAAAATATACAAATATAAATAAAACATTTTAGATTATTTTTCCCCTCTAAGAATAATTTTGTTTTTACTATTTCACACATGGAACAAATGTAATGTGAAATAGTATTTTAGTATTAAGTGTTATTTTAGTATTATGTTTTTAGTAATATACTATTAGTATTTATTAGCTTTTATTTTTATATTTTCATTTTAATAATAATAATTATTATTATTATTTATTTCAGTCATTTTTTTTTTTTTTACACTGAAGACTGGAGTAAAGGCTGCTGAGAATTCAGCTTTGCCATCACAGGAATAAATTACATTTTATAATATATTAAAACAGAAACTACTTTTTTTAAACTGTAAAAATAGTTGACACTATTACAGTGTTTACTTCATGCAGCCTTCTTACTGACTTACTGATCTTATTGACCCCAAAACCTATCCACGAAGAAAGCTGAATATGGGATCATACACAGAGAGAAACCCACTTTATCTTAACACTACTTAAGAAATGAGTGGTCATTATTTTTAGGTTTAGCAGTGGTATTTTACTGATAGGTTTTTAGAAGGAAAATACATAAATACCTTTAAGTACTTGCTTTGTATTCACTTTAGTAACACACATTTTGAAGTTTTATAAAGGTTTTGTTATTTAGTTCTTTGTGTTACAACCTGCCATGCAAAATAATTGTTCTTGTGAGAGGAGGAGTTTTATTTGCAAGCATCCCCTGGGCGCCACTCTTAAACAGCAGGATGCATTCTGCCCGAAAGAACCTACACTCCATTTCTCTCCATCCCTCTCCTCGGCCCTGCAGAATCGATTTAAGAAAATCAAGAGGGGGAGAGATGAATATTCAGAGTGGTTTCAGGGCCTGGAATTAGGCTTGAAAAATGCCTGGCAGATTAAGTTATTCACAGATGGGTGGAACATTACTACACAGAAAAGAAGACTTTCAGGTCACATATCGTTTTTTGGCTTTCCATTGGAGGGGGATTGAGTTACCTGAAATTAGTGCGTGTGTGTGTAACATGAGATGATTCACTTACTGTAAAAGCCTTTATTTCATTGGAGGAGTCACTTTGCTTGATGCATCATCTTTAGCAAGCATGAGAAAAACTAGGGAGTTGTGCTTCCAGTATGTGAGTGAATTTAAAATAGCATTTGTCATGTCTTATAGAAAATGTTATTTTGTGACCACAGCGAACCTCAAATACTAAGGGTTTTAAAATTTTAACAACATTACAATGCAGCAACATGAAACATCTGTTTTTCTTTCAATGTTTTTTTGTAGGGAAGCTCTGGAGAAGGAGAACTGTGATCCAGGCCTCTCAGGGAGATGGACGGCCATGTTCCTCACAGCTGGAGCAGTGGAAGCCCTGTCCTGTTAAACCCTGCTACAGCTGGAGGTACAGCGCCTGGTCTCCATGCAAATCTGAGGTGAGTTTGCTGATCAATCACTCAGATTTCTTTATTCATTTTGGACAATAAGCTGAATTATATATTTTAAGCTGTACTTCATGGATGCTGTTCTTTAAAAAAAAGTAATATCTGTGTAAATATGAAGTGTATGAAGAATTTGTGGGTATAATATGTCACAGTTTAGTTTATTTTGCTATCCTCACTTACATAAATTAACTATACTGTAGTGTTCTGCACCCACTAGTAAAACAATATGAAAAATTATATCTGGTGTCTGAATAATTTTTGGTTTGGCAGTATATGTACAAGTAAATATATTAATTGTAACAGCTACCCATCTCACTCATACAATACATTGTCCTACAATATCTGTGCAATGTATGAATATGTGCGTACATATATAGTCCTATTTTCCCAACATACTGAATTTATTAATATTTGTCAGTAAATAAATGAAATAAATGCACAATGAACTCACATTATTTATTTGAAAAAGCATCTTAGTAAAGGTGCTGGCACATTTACCGCTGCTTGACGAGGGTGAAATCCAGTCATTTCAATAGGAATCAGTGCGATCGGGAGTTTTGCATGAGGGTGAAAAAGTTCCCCACAATCCACCACATTGACCAACAAAAAAAACTGCTTGTGACCTGAGCTTCATGTATCAACAATGAACAATGGACTTGTTGTGAAATGTTGCTGAAATTTGACTAATGTGACCGCACCTTAATGCGTAAAAAAGTAACCTGATTGCATAAAACCTATGTAATGCAATGAACGTTTCCGATATAAACATCTTAAGCAGGTTTCATCTTACTTGAGGCACACTTTGCTATAGTAAACCACCATCACTTCATTTCATTTCATCTGCAGCAGTGTTTAGGTATATTTAGAATACTCCCCAATCTTCTCCTGCTTTGGCCTTTCCGCAGCGTTTGTGCCGTCGTCTTCCTCCTGTCATCAGTCTGGTTTTCAGGACCCAACAGGCGGTTTAATTAAAGACAACAGACAGAAGACACAGCCTCTCTCTTCTCTCCTTTCTTCCCGTCTCTGTCTTTCTCCTTCCCCCCTCGTACCTCATGCCCCCGTCACAGTGCAGGCTGTGAGAGAATATTGACTCTGGCCTTTGTTCTCGGCTGCCTGTCTCTAAAGTGTCTTCTGACAGCCCTCAGCAGTCTCCAGCAGCATTGCTTCACTTGTGCCTCATCTTTTTAGAGATTTTCAGCAGCTATGAAAAAAATAATGCCGGTAGCTGACAGTGCGGAACACGAGGACGGAGAAACAATGCTGGGATTTCTTCCTGCCTCATTTTGTATCACCATGAGAAGTTTTGCTCTGTCAAGGTCTAGAGCTCCAAAGACGCTGTGTAGAGTTCATCCTCAATCTCCACTAGGAGTACAAAAAGTGTATTTATTTATTTTAATTTTTTTACCACAGCTGGTGTCCAATTGTAGTCATTCATGTCAAAACTCCCTGTTTCCTTAGGGTGCACGGTGTGGAGAGGGCCTGCGCTTCAGGAACGTGTCCTGCTTTGTGTCTGATGGCTCGGGGAAGAATCCAGGCAGTATGGTGGAGGAGGAACTGTGTGGAGACCTGGAGCAGACAGTGGATGGGGACAAACAGATCATCCTGCAGGAGTCCTGCACGGTGCCCTGCCCAGGTAACAACTGTGACGACATGCTGTTGTAAATCCACTACACTGATGTAAATCTTGGGTTCAGCAACTGTCAAAGATATTGTAATAACGTGAGACATTAATCACATGGTTAATTACATGAATATTTGTTATAATATACACTACTATTCAAAAGTTTAGGATCAGTAAATGTAAATTTTAAGTGTATTTATTTTTTTTTATTAAAAAAAATATATATATATTTTTAATTGATCAGAAGTAACATTAAAGACATTTATAATGTCACAAAAGATTTCTTTTTCAAATAAATGATGTTCTTTTGAACTTTATATTCTTTAAAGAATATCATATTAAACAGCACAATAGTTTTCAACATTGATAATAATAAGAAATGTTTCTTGAGCAGCAAATCAGCATATTAGAATGATTTCTGAAGGATCATGTGACACTGAAGACTGAAGAGTAATGATGCTGAAAATTCAGCTTTGCCATCACAAGAAATAAATTATATTTTTAAATATATTAAAACAGAAAACAATTCAATTGTAATATTATTTCTGTTTTTACTGTATTTTTGAGCAAATGAATGCAGCCTTGGTGAATATAACAAACTTCTTTCAAAAACAGTAAAAAAAAAACGTTTTAATGGTAATGTATGTTATTTAGTAAAGTAAATAGTAAATATATAAATATTGTTTTTATTTTATTTATTGTAATGACAATATAAAAGCCAATTATGTAGTTTAGCAAAAACATATCATGCTTTCTCCCTCCTCCTTCAAAAAAAAAAAATCAAGCAGTATAAATTGGCCTTTATACTTTGAAAAATCACAATCTTGTGTTCCTCTCTCTAGCAGTTAGCTCACTTTTAAATTGGTCAGACCTACTCTGGCACATTTACAAGGCATCTTTTATGAGACACTCTGTGAAATATTCACTGGGATATCACAGCTATGACTCAACGCCCTCATATATCTTGCTGTATTACCTCATACAAGCTGGAGAATTAAACTTCATGGCTTGTTGTCCATTATAGTACTGTAATTTCACAGGAAATGGATGGAAACAAAAAAAAAAAAATATATATATATATATATATTTTTTTATTTTTTTTATTTTTCAGACAGGCTTTTGAAAGCTTTTTATTTCAGCAAGTGAGTGACAGATAGTAAGACAACATTTTGACATGTCCATTGTGGCAGTAGTAGAGAGTCGTGATTGAGGATTTATTAGGGGACAGTGACAGTAACAACACACCCGCACATGTCAGTGCAGATTTGTGTTGTGGTAGTGTGAGTTACATGATGCTTTGCCCACAGTGTAGTTGTGACTTTTTTTTTTAAAGTTGCACAGTTCTTCACTTGCTCTGACCTTTGACCCCATCATTCATTCTTTATTGTTGAAGCGTAGCTCCCTGGCACACATCCCGTCTCGCCCCGTTCTATAAACCTCCATCTGGGACCTACCGCTGTGCTCCCTCTGTCTTCCCTATTTTTTCCTGTTCCGATCTCTTTTTTCACACAAATGTTTCTTAAATGACGATGATGCACCCTTTGTGCATTTGAATATTCATCCCAGTGTTGTGTAACTTCATCAGCTATTCACACACAGACTCGAGTGTACTCTGTGAACTCAGGTGTCACATCTGTCTCTGGCGTTCCGCTGCGCACGTGCTCTGATAATCACCATCATAGGATTAGGGCTTTATGGAATGACAACTTTATGAATAATTAATACTCTGGGAAATATTCACAAATCAGGACTGCTATTACAACGGGACAGACTGACCTACTTCTGTTGAAAAAACACCCTGAGATCACAAAAAAAAAAAGTCTTAATATCCCTGACAAAGAAAAAGAAAGTCTGCAAGTGGAATTTGTTATTGTTAGACCCTGTAGGTTGACAATGCAAAAACTTTTTTAATTCTTTAGGGTTTTAGATTAAATCTATTAATGAATCACTAGGCCCACACAGACTATGTGCCTGGAGCTCCTCATAAATCCCCAAGGACTTCTGCAGAGTTGAAACTTTGTCACTTGCAAAGTTTATTTGTTTATTAAACATTTTGGTGAATTTAATTATGCCTTCAGCTACCAGTAACACTGTAGAACTCTCAGCACCATTTTATATCATTTTTCAGCAAAATTCACATTTATAGCTGTGACGTATTTTACATCTATAATTAGAATAAAAAAAGTTTACATTTAAATTTTGCGATTAGCAGAATGACAAAAAGTAAGTAAATACATAACATTTTCAAACTACCTTTGCAAATGCCAATATCAATTACCCATGAGTTTTCTGACAGAGGTGTTTATGTATTTGTCAGGTGAGTGTTACCTTACAGAATGGGCTGTGTGGAGCCTGTGTCAGCTGAGCTGTATCAGCGGGGACGATCTGGGATTTGGTTCGGTGCAGGTGCGTTCTCGTGCCGTTCTAGCCCAGGAACCTGAGAACCTTCTTCAGTGTCCAGAACAGGAATGGGAAGCCAGACCATGTACAGGTGAGCCAAAAATCTATGCGTTTATGGAAGACAATACAGTTTCACTGTAAAAATGAGTTTACAAAATTGTAAAAAAAACAAACATTATTATAGTTTTCATTATGTATTTATTTTTTTGAATGTATCACTGTTAATACTGTTTTATGTGTTTAAGAGGGCCAGTGTTATGAGTACAAATGGATGATCGGTCCATGGAAAGGCTCGTCTCGACAAGTCTGGTGCCAGCGCTCTGATGGATTGAATGTCACAGGTGTGTTTGAAATTAAATTATATTAAAAGAAATAAAATAAAATAGAATCAAATAAAATATTTTGAATTAATACATAAGGGCCCGGTTTCAAAGACAGGGCTTAGCCTAAGCCAGGGTTAGACCTTAGTTCAATTTGGACATTTAAGTAGAAAAAAACATTGCTGGTGTGCATCTTGAGACAAAACAGTGGCAGTGACATATTTTAAGACATGTCAGTGCAAGTTACTTTCAGTTAAAACCGCTCAAACATGCATTTTAGTCCAGGACTAGCTTAAGCCTTGTCTGTGAAACCAGGGGAAGAAGTTTTATGAATTAATATTTGGATTTAATTTTTATACTGTATATAGGAGGGCAGAAAATAATGGTGCATCCCCAGGTGGACAAATTGTAGAAGCAGAGATAAGCCACTCTGTATCTGTTTTTGATATTCAGAGAAAAAAAATGAAACCATCACTATGACAGAAGCGTCAATATTCTCTCCTCAGAGAGTGTTTGATGACAGACTGTGGTTTGAGATAAAGTTGACGTCCTATGCTGTCATTTCCTGTCAGGAAAGGCTGAAGTGTTCGCTGTCTCCTCTTATACATTTGTATATACTTTATGGAAATAAGCTTTTAATCCATGACAATGTGTCACCCACATTTAATCCCATTCACCATTATTCCAGCTGTCCTCCCATGTTAATGTGTATGTGTGTGTGTACTTCTGCGTCTCTCCTTGTTTTGGTGCAGGCGTGGAAATGCACGGGAACAGAAGTATGCCCCTCACACTCTGCTGTGGAACATCATAAATGCATTGCAATATGAGATTTAATTGAGTTTTGTATGCCATATTAATGCGACTTGGAATCAATCCCTGTGATTTTCAAATGTTTATTTGTCCTCTATGTCAAACTGTCCAAACTGACCTCGTTCCAGATGGCACACACGAGTCTGGTCACTTGTG